TAACTGAGATAATTGAAGTTGACTTAGTAAAACCTACAAAGAATAATTTGATTTTTTCCAAATACATGGGGGAAATCTCCCTCAACAAACTATCCCAAAAATTCCAAACACTATATGAAGTTATATCAGTCAGCCAACGGCAGCTAAGCTCTATTGTTCTGCATGTCAAGATATCCAAATGAGAACAGCAAAAATTAGCTGATCATTTGCGGTTGCATTTAACTGCGTATGTGAGAACTACTAGCACATAAAAATAGTTGCCACTTCCCAAAGTGTAAATGCTATTACTTACACTTTTAATAATTCTTCATGAGGAGGAAAAGATGATGCCTATTAAGAGAGTTAAATGTTATTTCAAAGCAAAGCTTTCTAGAAGACTTAAAATAAAATTCTTCTCAGATATAAATTAAGACAATACCAAAGGTTTAAAAAAATCATATATTCCATATGCCAGCCCTTAACTTTAAACAAGCTACTTTAAGCTTTTAACAAAAACATACACAAATTCATAAAATGCACTGAGTGCTAAATCCAATCTTCATTATCAGTACATATATAAATTCTTCATTTATGAACTCTTTAGCAATTTCCTATACCTTAAATTTTCATACTATACAACTCATATTTGACTACAAGAAAATTCTGAGTTCCCAAAAATCACATAAATAAATAAAATCTCAAGAAAAACTAGAAAAACTTAACTTCTTCACATATAACAAAAAGTTAATTTTACATAACATGGGAAGGTGTATGGCCCGACACATAGGGTATTGATTCCTTAATGATTACAATCTCCTAAACTAAGCTACTTTAAGCTTCTTATCAACAAGAACTTATTATTTTATCCCTCAAAATATTCTTTGGTCTATTCACTACTTAATTTAAAGGTTATCTGGGGTAACATATGTTGACCCGTTTTATTTTTACTAAGCAGAATTACAACTTGAAAACGCAACTTAAATAGTGGTTGACTATCATAATAACATAATTTATTAGTTTCTCTCCAATTATTGATGTTTTATTTAGGGAGAGGGGAGATAGGTGTTCACATCTTTATGCTGATCCTTGTAATCAAGAGTTTATCAGGCTTGCCAAGTAAAACATTCTAGAAAATCAGAAAACACACTAATACAAAACAGTTGGAATGGTGGAATGTAAGACTGTATTTTTTATACAGACTTTATAGATTGTAGGTTATTTTATTCTGGATGTGATATAGCAAATTGCTTCTTTCCACAGGAAATCTGATAAACACTTATTTAAGAAAAACACTTCATTCTCAATGAAAATGCAAAAACAGCAAACATACATGTAGACAATTGTTGGATATATAATTTATTTTTACCATGTAAATACAAGGCAAAACCGCACCTACCTGTTGGTAGTTCTGCTGCTTAAGCTGCTCAATTTGGGATTTAAACAACTTATTTGCATCTTCTAGTTCCTATTTAAACAAAAATTAAATATGAATAGCTAGATAAAGATTTTTATTTTCCATATAAACTTCTGAAACACATGATACAGCTGGAAAATTCCAAAATAATAATTTCAAAAGGAAATTATATTTAGTATTAGCCTGGAAGTAAGCATGTCTCAATGAACAAAATGAGATCCAAAAATAGACCCAAAATCCTGTAAGAATTAAGTATAGGGTGGCATTTCTATCAGCAGGGTATAGTTTCTCAGCCTTGACATCGGAGCCATTTTGGACATTACTTGTGGGGCTGTCCTATGTACTGCAGTTGGGTTAGCAGCATCCATAGCCCTCATCTACCAGATGTAGAACCACCCGCTCCCCAACAAAAATGTCTCCAAGTATTGCCAAATGTTCCCTGGTGGAGCAGAACCAGTGCAATAATGAGGGACTATTTAATAATATGGATAGCCTTCTTTTTTTTAAAGATTAGAATGTTATTTTCACAACTTACTTAAACAAATTACATATTAAGCAAAAAGCCTAAACAAGAAAATAAATTATAAATCTATTAGAAAATAAACATGAAAATATATTTTTAATCAAAGAGACACCTTTCTTTCCTAGACTTAAAACTTGAGAAATTATTATACTTTTGAGTATATAAGTAGGGGTAAAAAACACAAATGAAGCGAAAAGACAAACTAGGAAAAACAAATCACCTTACCTAATGACAAAAGACTAATTTCCCTTACTAAGTAAACAGGATCTTACAGATTAGTAAGAAAAAATTGACCTGGGCCCAGTGCTGAGGCTGCTCCCTGATATCGGGGCCATGAAGAAGGTCATGGTTTGGGGTTCCTGAATAAACCAACACATGGGATAAGCCCTATATCAAAACATAGTATGGGGACCCACAGGTGGCATGGTGGTTAAAGGCACTGGACTCCCACATGGCTGATCACAGTTCGAGTCCTCGACTTGGCAGCTTGCTTTCTCGCTGCCCCTTTTTCTCTCTCTCTCTGTCTCTGTCTGGTCAAAATTAAAAATAATAACAAATGGAATTAAATAAATAATTCTTTTAAAAAACATAATATGAAATTATATTATTAGGAAATATCTCTAAGAATTTAGTGTCATATGACATTTCAATCAGTA